TTGTTCGTTGGTTTTTTACGCTATACAGTTTCAACAAAAACTATCTATAAGAAGTTATGACTATCTGTGCTTCTCCTTGAACCCTCACAGGGAAATATTACCTTCTTATTAGCCTTACCCTATTTGATCTAGCAAGTCACAGCTTCTGGATTGAGGTAGTAACATACACTTCTCTAAGTATATAAGTAATCTAGCAATCTCAGTCTTCTTTTTCTGAAGGTACTTCAAATATTTAGGATCTTAAGAAGTATTACTGCAGTGTATCACATGAATGCCCAAAACTTTTTATGTCACTTGGGTTCCCTAAAATTGTTTCCTTTTGAAACATTTTCCGACAAATCAGCTACTTGTCCACAATCATACCATGTTTTGCTTGCTTTACACAGAGTAGTGAAAAGAACAAAATCACCACCAAAATAGCCTGTCCCTGATTCCCAGCTCAGGGCATTGGAGGTCACAGAGTTTTGACTCAGCTCTTCTTCAATACCTCAAGTCTACCTCCCCCCACCCTCAGCAAAACAGTCATCCTTATTCAAAAGGGAAGGTTAAACTGTGCCCTTAAGGGAGTTGCTGGATGCTGCACATAACTTACCTCTTCCTCATGTATCCGAAAAGATCCAAGCTATGCTATCCATTTTGGGGACGGGAAGTTGTGAATGCCTGACAAGCTACAACAGTGATATCACCTACCCGACTTGCAAGAGGATACATAGAAGAAACATGACAGATAGCAAGACAGCTGACTGCAAAGCTTTTTTTTACAGAAGCTATCCCAGATACGCCACATGAAAACATGTCTTCAAAGACAAAAGAAGCTTTGACATTAACTTCAGTCAAGCTAGAACATTTTCTTCTAAACCACTAACCACTTCGTCTTTCTTACATATCAGCCTTCTAACAACACACAAATCTACCAAACCCCAAAGATACTGTAGCACTATGGCTACTTAGTACTGTCCTTCCTTTGCCCGTGAAGTACACAGTAGAAGACTTTGATGGATTGTATTAGTCCGAGAAAATAACTTCAAAGGCATGTGTGCCATATTCTTACTGATGTCACTTTAAAGTTGGCAAACACAAGTAACCAGAAATAACTGGGGGGTGGGGAGTTCGGAGCAACATTAACAAAGAAAAACTTACTCATGCTCTGTAATGTAGAAATAATTTATTTATAAATTTCACCCACATGTATCTTCAGTCGAGGTCTACTCCCCTCTCCCAGCTCCACAAAGAATCTAAAGAGTACAGCTATACAGAAATTTAAAGCAGAATATTTTTTTATTTAGAAGTGGTGTTATCTGAGGCAGATATTTACCACAAGAAAATATTTAAGACACACTGCCTCGGATTCTCCAGTGATGCATTTGCTTCATTTAGAATAGGATTGCTTAGTAAATACTAAGAAATATTATCCTTTGGTAATAGGTACGAAACACGCAACTTGAGTTCCCCGACACAGACTCACAGTAACAGAAAACAAAACAAAAATGAAAAAAATAACCAAGTTGCCCCAGGACTTTGTTAGTAAAACCTAATCTTTAATTTTCACAGGCTGGTGGAAGAAAGGTCAGAAAGGATCCCAGGGCTTTTCTGCTAGGACACATGCTACAGGGGAAAGAAGAACATGGCAAAGTGACAGCAGTTAGATGAAATAACCATTTAGCATTGTTCCTTGTGACTTTCCTTACCTACATTTCTCAAACACTGCACGGTGACAGCAAATCCTTTCGTCCGTGGCAGTAGGTGATACTTGAGCTTGGGCAGGCCTTTGGCTTCAGCTACCTGCATGCTAATCTGGTGCTTCTGTTCTGTGAACCTTGTGCCCTCACAATGAATCAGGAACTAAAACCAAGAGAGAACTACAGTTAGACAGCAGCTCAGGTCTTCTACATCTGTCTGACCAGAGGCCTCTCTTAATTCCCACCAACACAGCCCAAATGAACACTGCTAGCAGGGACAGGTGTAGCCACATACACATTAAGGTAATTTAATTGCCCTGGAGTAAAAAAAAAAACAAAAAAAACCCCCCAAAAAACCCCCCAAAACACCAACCCAAAACCAAACCCTCTCAATTGCCCCCACCCATCCAACCTGCCATCCTCTGGATTGAACTCTAGCCTTTAGGCTTTAACATTTGCTCTGCTGCTTGCTATCAGAATGACTTGATTTCTCTAAATGAGTCACTCCATCTCTAACGAGATGTTAGAAAACACTCAAAACATACCTCCTGTTGCAAATCTCTCACTGATGGTGAGGTGTTCGAGTGTCATGGTATCTAAAACTTAGTAAGTGTCTAAACCAAACACATTTCTAGGAAATGTTTCAGTGCCCAGCTTGCTTCCCCTCACTCCAACCTGCTTGCTTTCACTATGGCATGAGGACCACTGACAACTGCAGACAGTAACTTTGACGCCAGTGACTGAGCTGATAACAGATGTAAGGCAGCAGATGCAGGACAACCGAAAGCCTCATCCCCTTATGAACTATACAGTGGAAGTGCTCAGACATGAACGACTACAATTTTGCCACTGGCAGGCAGGGGAGAGCAGACAGATCTTTGGAGATTTACCACTTGCTCATCTGCTTTCTGCCAAGCCTGAATGCAAACTAACACATCAGAGAGCATTGCCAAATCGCACAAGCTAAGTCTTTATAACCCACAGCAAAGGTTTAGCCAACAAAGACAGAGAGACTGAAGAAAACTAGCCAAATAGCCAGCTTCAGTTCCAGCTCATCTGAGAGCACTCTTACTTATGTAACACATGCATAATGTTAAACAGCTAGATGAAACATACAGAAACTGATGAGAAAATCCTTCTAGCCCACTTAGCATGCTCTGTCTTTCTACCTTCCAAGGTGCTATTGCTGTGCTTTTGACATTATGTCACCATACAAAGGCAAATTAAAACTCCACACTGCAATAACCCCAGGTGTACATCAACTGTGTCTCTCTTATTACAGATATAGCTCCTTCTTAGTAATCTCTCTACAGCAGTATATAAAGGATGGTGGTGGTTTGTGCCCACCAATTAGTGCTGAACTGCCTAGGTGTACAGAAAGGCATTCAACACCTTTTAAGAGTCACAGAGCACAGGCAAATCCCTGATGAGAGAGAGTAGAACTAGAAACCAAGAATTGTCCCTTTGCTAGACAGCCTCCTGCCTGGAAGTCATTTAATCATTATCCAAGCACAGAGCTTAGTTTCAATTGCTTAGTGCTCATTTAAATCAATGACAATTAAAAAAAAAAAAGTTTTGTTTCAGAGAATGAGAGATACAACACATACATCTTCACTAGGAAACTGCTTCTTAAGCAATAGTTTCTGCAGGCCCTTGTGAGGCTGCTTAAGGGTACCATTTCCTTAACTGAATCCCTCTCTCGCCATCACCAGCTCACAAGAACAGGATTTTTCTGATTACTGAGAAGAGAAAAAATTCAAAAGTTTTTCATTCCCAGACTAGGAAGTGTCAGGCAGGCTCAATACTAAAAAATGATGGTGGTGCAAAAAGTAACACTTTCCTGTTACTGAAAGATGACACCAATCCTTTCCCTGTAACACAGCCGATGGCCCCAGGGGCCACTTCTCTGACCAGGTACGTATCTGTGGCTTCCACTTCTACTGGGCCATGTCTGACCTAGCACCTTCAGAGGAATGGCAGAATCACAGGGAAATGGAAGGAGAAAATACTAGTAAGAACTCAGCAATCTAAGGTAAGAGGGGAGCTTAGGTTAAGAATACAGCTAATGTGTTTCAATATAACATTGTTACATGCATCTGTTACACCGCCATGAACCCCTGCATCTACCCCTCTCCAGCTCCTGCATTTAGAGGACCACAAAGTTTACTGAATGGATCACAGTGGAGGTATTTTTGCAATAACATCTGTAGGGATCCATACTACAGAGGAAGAAAACAGACCAGACAACTACATGGGAAATTCAAGAGAGAATTCAATTCTTAGAGAATACTCTCCTGATGCTGCCAGGAAGCTCATGAATCAAGGTTCTCGGGAGCAACCTGGAGACTATCACATATTGTCCATGCCCTTCATCCCTCCCAAGCACTACAGCACCTCGCACTCCACTTATTAGTCATCACTTACCCAAAAGTTCTCAGGGTAGTCCCGGAGATTCAGCAACTTCTGCATGACTGTTTTCCGATCTTCCTCCCACTTACGCTTGCAGAAGACTATCTCTAGGAAATACCACATCCAGCCAATGATAGGCATGTAGGAGAGCTCCTTCTTTGCAAGCACTTTAGAGCTCTGCAAGACAGAGTCAAAGCAAGTAAAACAGAGTTACACCACTTAGAGTTCTCTGTGGGTATGACACATGCACAGTTAGACACCAACATATTGATTCATATCGACCAGTCCCAGTTTAACACCAGCACAAAACGAAGAAAAAGAAGTTTTTCCTCATACAACAGAATAGTCAAATCTAATCTCTGCATGAAAGCAAGACTTCCAGAATTAAATATATATATACGTGTATGCGTATCTACCCTACTCAAACCCTGAAATGCAAAACACAAGCCAAATTCCTTCAAACACTGAGGAATCCATGCAAAAGACCCAAACCACATAAAACGAAATTCTTAATTCAAGCAGACCCTGGGCAGTGGCAACTCAAGTTCCTTTAAGATATCTTGCAGCTATACTTCTCCCCAAAGATGGGACATCTCACCATGACAAAAAAAAACTATTCTGAATGAGAAGCAGAGTCACAGAGCCATTGCCGCACAACAATGTATTGATCCATACACTTGGTTTACCAATGGAAGAAACCTTAAACAACACTTGAAACAACACCAGCAATAAAAATACTTCATTTGTGTTTAGGTTTGTTTATGGAAGGGCAGAAATACTTACACTAGTGAATTTCTCTTCAAAGCACGCTTCTGGAGTAAAAAACAAAACAAACAAAAAAAAAGTACTGTTCCTGTCTCAGAGGTGTGACAGACATTGAAGTGATTTGTCCAGACCCTCCAGAAGAAGTCTATGGCTTATCAAGCATTCAACAAGTTTCAAATCTCAAATCCTACTCCAGAACTTAACTCTGTGATCGTCTCAGACTGATATCCCTGCGGGCAGGAGAACTGATTCCATTTGCTCCTTTCCTGTCTTCCAAGCCAGCCCACCTTGGTGAGCTGCCTTACATTTAACTTTGTTATTTAATGAATAAAATGGCACGTGTGTGTGCGTATATACAGAAATTGTTGCTTCAGCATTCCCTGAAAAACAGTGACATTTTCTTAGAGGATAGATGAATTACAGAATTACAGTCCACTTTCTATCCATGGTATCACTATAAGCTATCCCACCAAAGTGCTCTGCAGATGGCTTCCAGGACATCGCATGTGACTAGTAGGAATTATTTACTGGTAGAAGTTACCATCAACAGAAAAGATTTGCTTTTATTTTTTTGATCACTGTTGTTCATTTGGTTACTAGGGGAAGAGACTTGACCTAATTCTTAATCTCAGCTCATTTCTCTCATCTGCTCTCCTCCCTTGAGAAAGAAAATACCTTAAATAATTAAGCTATCTAAAAGCTCATAAGACTGGAAGGCAAGTGCACATCACATAGCTTCACTAGCAACTGTTACACAGAAACAGAGCAGAAGATGACATGAGACAATTCCATTTCTAAGAATGCAGGAACCATCTCTGTCAAATGATTTAACACTTCATAATAAACTGCTCCCTCTTGATCATTTCAGAATTTCCGTGATGGGCCCACATCAGGACTCCAAACCCAGCTCTCCCACAAGAAGCAGCCATAGGATTCAGCACACTTGTTGCCATTTCAATTTTAAGCCACGTTGGATGTTAGTCCCTATTGCATGGCAGCAGCAACGCTGAGCCCAGCCTCCTCTTCCAGCTCTCCAAACTGGCCACAGAGGAACAGGCTCTCCTCACACCGCTTTCCTTAGCTCTGTTTTTTTTCCGCACACTACTGTTTTTCCTTTTCTCAGTTACTCTTAATACAAGTAATTTTCTTATTTCCAACATAAATGTAAATAGTTCTAGCAGGTATCTTTAAAAGCCTCCAAAGAGCATTTTTTGTTGTAGGCCACATACAGTATAGCTTCCATTCAAAGCACACAGACCAGTTCACATGCTCTTCCATTCCTCTTCCCTGTACATGCCTGAAGAAGACAGCTGAGCCAAGGCTTTGCCCCAAGAAACCCTAACACATGCAAAGTGTTTCTAGCTGAGCAGGGAGGGCTAGAACCTTAGGGAACTACTGCCTGCCTCAGCCATAACCAGGGCAGCTGTCAGCTGCAGCCTAGTGCAAGCCACAGCACAAGGAGGCAAACAGCAACAGCGTCACCCCCCAAAAATAGAAAACACCCAAGCTCTTAAAGTTTATTTACAGTAAGTGTTCAGTATCATAAGACCTACCATAAACAAATGTAAGTGTGCCCTGCATAGGATGTTCAAGGCCTCCAGAGCAGAGAGTCAGACAAGACAATCTAATAGTCCTCCCTCCCAGACTTTAACACACAGGAATCCTAGTTCAAAAAGCAAGCTAAAGTAACTATTTCACCATAGCTATTTTCTAATGTTTGGCATATTTTAAAAAGCTTATGAGTTAAACAAGGGGCAGGAGAGAAGTTGCCACCGTTGTTTTTTTTTTCCCCAGTGAAACAAAGAAATGATGTTGTGAGCTAAGGTGTCACATAGCACAGGTATAACCACAAAAGCAGAATAGAGGTTTGAATTCTTCCCCAGGGCACGTTCTTATTCATTTTCTGTGCCGACGCATTTTTTAAATTAAAAAGCGCTCTTTTAGACACATGAGTGTACGACTCCTTAGATGCACATAAAAAGAAATTAAATCACCTTACGCTATTTTGTGCACCCCATCTATTCTAGGAGTAGAAGGAAGGCTAATGACACAGAACTAATTAGAGAAAGGAAACTCTTCAGTGTATTGTACTGGCAAGATTGCTCTCATGTGGGAGGAATACATTATGCCTCCCCTCAGAAGCTACCATCTCTCTTACAATAACTAGAGCTACAATCTATTCTGTTTCAGTTGTCTACCGATGCACAGCTCCTGTGTAAATACCTGAGGGGAAAAATGCAGCTCTAGTTGACGTTGGCCACTAACTTTTCCTTTACCAAAGTGCTTTGGTAAATACGTGACAGTCACCTCTAGCCTTCAAATTCAGCTTGTTCAATAGAACAAATTTCATTTAAAAGTGCTGATTTATTCCACGTAAGCTGCCTTCTTGAAGGCAGTCAAACATTTTCAGTGCTCAGAACTGTGTAATTCCAACAGATGTTTAATGAAATTATCACTGGATGGGGACAACTTGTTTACCGCAATAGCATTTTAATCCAAGTTAATTTCTTTTGGCCAAATTTGTTCAGATGGAAATACCCATGAAGTTCTCCTTTTGTGAATGATTGCACTAAGATCACATTAAAAAAATACAATTTTTACAAGCTTAGTTTAGAAGCATTTGCACAGCTATGCTGTCACAGAAAGAAAATCTTTATTTATATGTCCAGCCTCAGTTATTCAACACCTCTTGGTCACAGAATGCAACAAACAGCATGAAATCAACCTGCAAGCTGAGGATGTCTAACAAAATTTGTTCCACAGTTTCAAAATAAATTCATTGTAGCTGCAAACCATTAGCAGCAGCAATTTGCCTCATAAGTTATTTGCTCTCCAGGCTGCCCTCAGCATTGACATACTTCTGATGATTCCACTTGCTCTATTTTTGAAACATAGTACTCCTTCATATTATACTCTCTGGGACATCAAGATGGAAAGATATGTTTCTTTAGTCCCTCAAAGCTATGATTCCAGAAATTCAGTTAGGCTCCTAATTTCTAATGCTTCATATTGAATAAAACTTTTCCATGTTGGAAAGGTAACACAGCAATATTTTAGAGGACGTATACCCAAGCATATGCTAAGGTGCTATGTTAAATACAAATAATAATGTAGTTTTGGCTGCCTACATGAACAATTACTTAACTTCTATTTATATATTAAAATGTACAAATGAACTACTGTGTTCACACACCTGTCAGTCCCATACAATAACCTAGCAAAAGTCTCTTCTCACACCTATATTTAAGGCCATGCTCAGTTTTTCCAACAGCAAGCTTCAACGTAAACAACTTTTAAATAAAATTTGGGTTTCCTGGCATATGGAACAGATAGTTAGGGTTAAAAATTATTACATGTGCTTAGCAATTTTTTATGAGAAATGTAAAGCAAGATAGTTAACAACTAGTTTTACATAATGGTTTTCTGCCTTGTCTACCCTGCCAAGGAATAAACAACTATGGCCTCTGCTGGAAATCCGCATATTTTGATGCCAATATAACAAGCCACTCAGAATAATGTTTATGTTTATGTTTTGCCAAGGTAGAAAGACCACCAGCATTAATAACTTGAAACTCAAGACACCAAAAGATGAACAGATAAACCAGCAGGTTTAGCTTTAAAGCGCAGGCAATTTTTGCTAATATAAATGTCTTCATCTCAGAAAAAGGGTTACTAAAATTACTAAAAAAAGCTATTTTATCACTGCTTAGTCGTATCAAGCAACGAAGCAGAAGGGTACAGTGAATCCTGGCAGGGAGCATATTAATGTGCTTTTGGTGTAAGTCCTGAATAACACCTCCATCCTCAGAACATGCCTATGTCCTGATTTCAGGTTCTGGTGTCCAGTGGTTCTGTTTTCAAAGGGATGCTTAGCACACACCTTGAAGAAACTAAATGCTACTAATGTGTTTAAATGCTGATACAGTAGCTAGGCTGTCCACCACTAAGAAGAAGGTAAAGTCCTAGGACTGGAATGTCACAGGCAGGAAAAGGGAAGGGCACAGCAGAGCGCAGGGACCTGTCATGAAGACCACGTCTCTATTTACACAACAGAGCAACACACAGACACCAGAGTCGGCATCTCCTCCATCCATTGCATCGGCATGGCGTGGAAAAGCAGAGCATCCACAATGCAACCATCACAGTCACCCTGGCTCAGGATCATAATAACAGCTCTGCCTTTTATTAGGCAACACTGGCGTGGACAAAGCTCCGTCCTGTTGAGGCTATGCT